CTAAGGGATGGGTCGAGCGACCGTCCATAATATGATGTCTGGTTCATCAAATAAAGATGACCAGAATATGAGGCCGATGGGCCGATGTGAGCTCCACGTCATCAAATAAAGATGACTGGGAGTAGTGGCCGAGAGGCATATATGAGAGCTCCACGTCGTCAAATAAAGACGAAGGGGCGATGTGTGGCCGAGGGGCCTGGATAAGAGCTCCACATCGTCAAATAAAGATGACGGGGCGATGTATGGCCGAGGGGCCTGCATAAGAGCTCCACGTCGTCAAATAAAGACGACGGGGCGAGATGGCTCAGAGGCCTATAGATGAGTTCCTCGTCATCAAATAAAGATGATAGAACGATATGTGGCCGATGGGCCTGTAGATGAGCTCTTCGTCATCAAACAAAGATGACAGAATAATATATCGCCGATGGGCCTGTAGATGAGCTCTTCGTCATCAAATAAAGATGACAGAATAATATATGGCCGAATGGGCCTGTAGATGAGCTCTTCGTCATCAAATAAAGATGACAGAGCGGTATATGGCCGATGGGCCTGTAGATGAGCTCTTCGTCATCAAATAAAGATGGCAGAGCAGTATATGGCCGAGGGGCCTATAGATGAGCTTCTCGTTATCAAATAAAGATGACGGAGCAAGATATATGGCCGATGGGCCTGTATGAGAGCCCTTCGTCATCAAATAAAGATGCTAGAGCAAGATGTGGCCGAGGGGCCTATAGATGAGATCTGAGATCCTTTAGTCTCTGAGCCGGAGACCGCAAGATGTTTGCTAGATCCGAACATGAGGACGAGGCGTTGGACGCCTGTCTGGATATATGCGGACGAGGCGTTGGACGCCTGTCTGAATATGAGGACGAGGCGTTGGACGCCTGTCTGAATATGAGGACGAGGCATTGGACGCCTGTCTGAACATGAGGACGGGGCGTGGGACGCCTGTCTGATGATACGATGACGAGGCAATGCTGAGCCGATCATCATATATAGGCGACGGTCGCAATCCAGGAGGGGATGGCGAGCCCGATCGCTAACCCAAGACATTCGGCAATGAGAGGCCGGTCTCGGAGATAGGACATCACATCGTGGCCTAGGGGCCGATCGTGATGTGAGGACGGCCGTGATAAGGAGCCGATCCAAAATAACAATGACGAGGCGATGATAAGCCGGTCGCCATGTAGGGGCGATAGTCACCATCCAGGAAGGGATGGCGAGCCTGATCGCTAGCTCAACACACTCGGCGCTGATGAAGCCGGTGTTGAGATAGATCATCACGCCGAGGCCGGGGCGGCGGTCGTGATATAAGGATGGCGATAATGGGTAGCCGATCCGAATAATGATGACGAGGCAGAGATGAGCCGGTCGTCATGTAGAGGCGATGGTCGCCATCCAGGAAGGGATGGGGAGCCCGATCGCTAGCTCAACACACTTGGCGCTGATGAAGCCGGTGTTGAGATAGGGCATCACGTCGAGGCCAGGGGGCCGATCGTGATGCGAGGTCATCAACACTATGAGGCTGAGCCAAACGTCCAAGCAGTGGCGGAACCAGCACGGATCAGTTGGAGGGGCACATTAACACATAAATCATACTACCTTCAATCTTTTCTAATTGCAACATTTTCACTTTAATGTTTGTAAATGCACAAGTTTTACCACCAAAGCCATCAATATATTTAATTCTCTATTACTAAAAAATTTAAAAACAATTATGAAATTTGTAATGTTACGAATTAAGCAATATTTTACAAAAAAATAGTTATCATGTATTAATAAATGTAATTAAAATAGAATATGGGAATAGTGTAAAATTTTCAATGTTACAACTAAAGGAATCAGAAGGATATCATACACGATGTATATAAAAAGAAAACAAAAAGAAATTAATTTTGTATACTCCCTCCGTTCTCTAATACATGTCTTTCTTTCCATTTTGGGATGTTCTCTATCACATGTCTCTCTTTCCATTTTTAGAAAGTTTTTTCCAATAAATATATCTGTATACCCTCATTCTCTTTCCTACTTTTTCCTTTACACACAACTCACTACACCTTTTATCTTACCCCTATTAATTTTTTCTTAAATCTTGTGTCAAAGGCTATACTCCCATCTATTAGAGAACGGAGGAAGTATACACAAGTCAAACTAGCATAAACTCTATTTGTAATAAATTATATTAAGAGTCATAGTAACCACTGGACATGTTGATCCAATGGTCGATCTTTTCCCTAAGTTAATTGTTGCCACATATGCTAGGTCAGTGGGTTCAATTTTCAGCGGTGCTTCTTTTTTGGGAAATACGGAGTATTGCTTAGCAATTAGCTGTGATCCGCAGGGGCAGCCCAGGCGCAGGGGCACACTGACACAGCGGGCTTATGATCGATCTAGGAGTAACATATATATGTTAAGCAAATAAAAATCCGCAGGGGCACGGGCACCTCCAGCGCCCAACGTAGTTCCGCCCCTGCGTCCAAGCAACGGTCACTATCCGATGAAGGAATGACTGAGACCGGTCTTGGGGAATATGATCACGTCGAGGCCGAGGGCCTGCCGTGATGTGAGGGTATCGGCACTGAGGGGCCGACCCCAAAATCCATGCAATGGTCGCCACCCAGTAAAGGAATGGCTAAGACCAGTCTTGATATAAGGTACCGCGCCTTGGCCGAGAGGCCGGCCGCGATGCGAGGATGACGACTATGATAAGCCGGTCCAATGTATGATGACGAGGCAATGATAGGCCAATCGCCATGTAGAGGCGACGGTTGCTATCCCGGAAGGGAATAGCAAGCCCAATCGCTAGATCAAGACACTCGGCGCTGAGGGAGCCGGTCTTGAGATAAAGCATTACGTCGTGGCCGAAGGGCCCGATCGTGATGTGAGGACGAAGATGCTGAGGAGCATGTCCAAGATATGATGACGAGGTAATGATAAGGCCGATCGTCATGTAGAGGCCACGGTCACCATCCAGGAAGGGACGGCGAGCCCGATTGCCAACTCAAGACACTTGGCGATGAGAAGCCGGTCTTGAGAAGGAATAATCACAACAAGGCTGGGAGGCCGGTCGTGATGTGCGGATGGCGATGATGATGAGCCGATCTGAATAATGATGATGACGAGGCGAAGATGAGCCGATCGTCATGTAGAGGCGACGGTTGCTATCCCGGAAGGGAATAGCAAGCCCAGTCGCTAGCTCAAGACACTTGGCGCTAAGGGAGCCGGTCTTGAGCGAGATCATCACGTCGAGGCCGGGGGGCCGATCGTGATGTGCGGATGGCGATGATGATGAGCCGATCCGAAGATCCAAGCAACGGTCGCCATCCGGGAAGGGATGACTAAGACCGGTCTTGAGATAAGGTATCACGCCTTAGCCGAGAGGACGGACGCGATGTAAGGACGACGGCGATAATGAGCCTGTCCAACATATGATGACGAGGCGATGTGAAGGCCGATCGTCATATAAAGGCGACGGTTGCTATCCCGGAAGGGAACAGCAAGCCCGGTCGCTAGCTCAAGACACTTGGTGCTGAGGGAGCCGGTCTTGAGCTAAATCATCACGTCGAGGCCGGGGGGCCGACCGTGATGTGCGGATGGCGATGATGATGAGCCAATCCGAATAATGATGACGAGGCGGAGATGAGTCGATCGTCATATAAAGGCGACGGTCACCATCCAGGAAGGGATGATGAGCCCTGTCGCTAGCTCAGGACACTTGGCGATGAGAAGCCGGTCTCTGAGAAGAAATAATCACGCCAAGGCTGGGAGGCCGGTCATGATGTGCGGATGGCGATGATGATGAGCCGATCCGAATAATGATGACGAGGCGATGATGAGCCGATCGTCATATGGAAGCGACGGTCGCCATCCAGGAGGGGAATGGCGAGCCCGGTCGCTAGCTCAAGACACTTGGCGCTAAGGAGGCCGGTCTTGAGATAAAGCATCACGTCGTGGCCGAGGGGCCGATCGTGAAGAACGGATGGCGATGAGGAGTCGATCCGGATAATGATGACGAGGCGATGATGAAGCCGATCGTCATATAGAGGCAACGGTCACCATCCAGGAAGGGACGGCGAGCCCGATTGCCAACTCAAGACACTTGGCAATGAGAAGCCGGTCTTGAGGAGAAATAATCACGCCAAGGCTGGGAGGCCGGTCGTGATGTGCGGATGGCGATGAGGAGCCGATCCGGATAATGATGACGAGGCGATGATGAAGCCGATCGTCATATAGAGGCAACGGTCACCATCCAGGAAGGGACGGCGAGCCCGATTGCCAACTCAAGACACTTGGCAATGAGAAGCCGGTCTTGAGGAGAAATAATCACGCCAAGGCTGGGAGGCCGGTCGTGATGTGCGGATGGCGATGATGATGAGCCGATCCGGATAATGATGACGAGGCGATGATGAAGCCGATCGTCATGTAGAGGCAACGGTCACCATCCAGGAAGGGACGGCGAGCCCGATTGCCAACTCAAGACACTTGGCAATGAGAAGCCGGTCTTGAGGAGAAATAATCACGCCAAGGCTGGGAGGCCGGTCGTGATGTGCGGATGGCGATGATGATGAGCCGATCCGGATAATGATGACGAGGCGATGATGAAGCCGATCGTCATATAAAAGTATGACGGCGTTGGGGAGGCCGTTCATGAGATGATGGAGCAAGAGCTTCGGCATTGGGAGCCGGTCTTGAGATGAATAATAAGTTTGGGGAATTTATTTATTTTTATTGCTCGAGGCCGGCAAGTGCGCGGTCCGTCGGCTTCCCTCTTTTTTTTTTGTTTTTTTTTTGGATGGCCGAAGGGTTACTGTCCCTTCGTCCATGTGCGGTATTTTGTCCGCTACGCTTTTCGCGTGTGTTAGTGCGAGGGAGTAAATACGCCCTCGTCTTGGTGTGTCAGTGGCATCCTTTTTTGCCTTTCCACGTCTATCGGCGACGAGGGACCGGACTAGGCATCGTCCTTTGACGGCCGCCCTTTGTGGTCCTGAGCGAAATTTTACTGACGGGTGGAGTTTTTGTAACCTCAGCCTTAATTCAGGCCTGTCGTCCTGCGGTTTCCGCGCGGACGACGCGGTATGCTTCTCCGTTTGAAGACGTTGGACCATGCACACAGGTCCTTCGTCCTGCATATCGCCGGCCGATTTGGGTGTTTCACCGCTTGTGCCGATACGATATTTAGGTGCGTTGTTTATTGCAACGGCTTTGTAGGCGCGTTGTGGATCGCAACGGCCTTAGGTGCGTTGTGTATTGCAACGGCTTTGGGTGCGTCGTTTATTGCGACGGCTTTAGGTGCGTTGTTTATTGCAACGGCTTTGAGTGCGTTGTTTATTGCAACGGCTTTGGGTGCGTCGTTTATTGCGACGGCTTTAGGTGCGTTGTTTATTGCAACGGCTTTGGGTGCGTCGTTTATTGCGACGGCTTTAGGTGCGTTGTTTATTGCAACGGCTTTTGGATGACGCAATTAGCGTGTAGGGGAATGAGGTGTACCGCTTCTAGGCATAATGTCGTGTGCGGCCGTTGATGGCTCTCATTCTAGATGCCCGGGTCATCAAATAAAGATGACCATGGTAGGTCAATGGACCCAAATATGATCTGAATCATCAAATAAAGATGTTCGGAAGGTTAAGGCTTTGACCCACACCAATTGGGGATTTCAATCCACTAGCAATGGTGGTGAAGATAATAATAATAGTAGCAATTATTATTATTGTTTTCCTTTTTTATTAGTAGTAAAACTATATTTTTCTTTTTCTCTTTGGAATAGTAGTAAAACTATTTTTCGGAATAGTAGTAAAACTATATTTTCTTTTGAATAGTGGTAAAACTATTTTGCTCCATATTTAATGCATAAAATAGGAGGAAAAGTTTGTGACTTACTTGTATTTGGGCCGAAGCCTGCCCTGCTTAGAATTCAAGCAGGGAAATATAAGATTGGGCAAACTCCGAATCCTTGGAGCTTAATAGTCGGGCCACATTTCATCAGCCCATCACTTCATTTGAGGTTATAGTAGGCCTCAGACCCTGTCCGCCTGTCAATTTCATCCGCAGGAATGCAGGGGAAAAGTCGGTTCTAAGGGTCGGAGCAAGGGAGAAGTCTGCCGATCCTGCTGTCATTCTCCCGTCACCTAGCCGAGAGGCTTTTACTGACCGCGGTTCCCTCAATTTGGTGCCGAAGGAACACAGGGACGAAGGTGGACGTCGAGGGGGATGCCGGTTGATGCCATGCAAGGCCGAGGTGGTCCCAATCCCCATGCCGGACGAAGGTGGTGTTTGGCTGAGGTGGCCCTGTTTTCCTTCGAGTTTTACCCCGTGCGATCTGTTGACCAAGGGACGGCAAGAAATGCTGCACTGGCCGAGGAGTAGACTGGCCGATGCGGGTCGCCAGGTGAGGTGGCCCTGTTTTGGCCGATGCGGTTCAGTCCGGACGATGCGGTCGCTTGACGGGGTGGCTCTGTTGTGGCCGATGCGGTACCGGCGATGTGGTACCGGACGATGCGGAGCCGGCGATGTGGTACCGGATGATGCGGTGCCGGGCGATGCCAAGCCAGACGATGCGGTGCCCCTTTTTAGCAGGTGCGGTGTGCCGATGTGCCCTGGGCCGCTGGCCAATGCGTGCAGGCTGATGGTGTCCCAGTCGGTGGTGCACTATGGCCGATGCGGTTGCTTGACGAGGTAATCCTGTTTTGGACGGTGCGGTCCGGCCGAGGTGGAGCCGGCTGATGCGCGCTGGGGGAGGAAGCGCAGCTCTCTGGTAAGCAGGTAAGCAGGTTGACGACGTTGCCAGCAGATGGGGTGCCGGCCGATACGGCGTCCTTCTTTTTGGCCGGTGTGGTGTGCCGGCCGATGTGAGGCCGATGCGAGCAAGCCAACGAGGTTTTGTGGCCGAAGGTGATCTCTCGGACGAGGTGACCCTTTCTTGGCTGACAGAATATAGCGAAGCTTTGCTTGGCCGTTATGTGTGGCCGATGCGCTGCAAGCCGGCGGTGTTTGATGGCTAATGCAGTTGCTGACCGGTGCCGTTGCCGACCGGTGGGGTGTCTTCGTCGTTGTTTGGCCGATGTGTCCCGGCCGTAGTGTTGATGGGGCCGGTGCAGTTTGCCGGAGGTCCCACCATCTCTTTGTTTGGCTTTTCCTCTTGTTTTAGTTGTTCTTGGCCGACGTGCTATTTGGGAGTTCTTCCCTTGAGCCAAGGAGCGTACACCACGTGCAAGAAGAGGTGACATAGCCGAAGAGTACCCCTTTGGTTAATCGTGAATTTTAATGAGGGTCATGGGCTTAGGGTCCCACAAACTTGCTGGCTTTTCCTTTTGTTTGGCAGATGGGAGGAGTGGTTCACTTTTGGCCGAGGAGTTCATATTGCCTCTACTAGGGCCGAAGTGATACCACATGCATAGTTTACGTGTTGTGATATTTGGCGGGGAGGATCTCACTTGATATATTCTAGCTCTCAATGAAAGCACCAAATGATAGATTATTAATTCTAGAGAGAAGGGAGAACTAGAGAGATAAAGTGATATGTATAAATCCAATCAACCATTCAACCATCCCTTACATGGCTCCCATAGGGAGTATTTATAAAAGAAAAGAGGGTTGGGCTTCCAGGCTTGGGCCTGCCTGGCCCAGTTACAATAAAAGGCCAATAAATGGCTAATAAATGGTATCTAATCTATTCTAATGGATATACATGAATAAAATAGAGTGTACAATGAGATAAATGCTATCTACTGAGCGTATGTGGGCCGCTGTCCGGGCCCAACAATCGTGAGGCCCGGGGGTCCGAGTCTATATACTCTATCAATAGTCAATGCCCTCAACCTGCCTATTACCACACACCACAAGCCGGGCTTTAAACCGTTCAATAGTACCATTACTATTATATTTGATTTTGTATACCCATTTACAGTGAATAGGTTTCTTGTGTGCAGGCATTGGCACCATGGTCCACGTTCCAGTAGCTTCCAAAGCATCAATCTCACGACGCATGGACTCCCTCCATCGTGGATCTCGGACAGCCTCGTTATAAGAAACAGGTTCCTTCTCATGAGAAATAGCTGCAAGAAATGCTTGATGGCGTACGGAGTAAGCATCATAATTTATATAACAAGTCAAGGGATACAGAGTACCTGAAGACGCAGACTGGATGGGATGGTCATGGGGGTCCGTAGTCGCGGCATGGGTCTGCACATAGTCCTGTAGACGCACTGAGGGAATTTTTCGTCTCAAGCCACGTCCCAGTGGTACACTGGCCTCCGAAGTAGATTGCATGTCCATGTTGGACGTATGCATGTCATTTGGCTCCACACGAGATGTCTCTCCAGCATATTCCATGGGATCAATTACTCCCTCTGACGTGTGAAAAGGAGCCTGCATGCCTGTGGGAGTTGCATGCGTAGTGCTTAGTGGAAGATGATGTGGCGCACTTGGATATAAAGATTCAACTACTGATAACTTATCATCCGTGTTGAGTTTAATCCAACACGATATAGTAAATATATGTATAAATGTGTATGAACAACTCAGTTTTTACGTGGAAACCCGAAAGGGAGAAAACCACGGGACTTTTTAGGCTAATGTCCAAGCCCTCTCAATTCTCATTAGGCTCTCCTCACCATTACATAGTACATTTTGAGCTCCATTCATGGAGTATTTGAGCTATTCTAGAGGGAGAAGGAAGAAGGAACCCCCTTACATGGAGGGAAAACCTCCTATAAATAGGGGAAGGGGAGAAGGGGCTCTCCACCCTAATGGGCCAAACGGGCCAGAGTGGGCCCAAATGGCTAAAGTGGGCCGGATGGGCCGAAATGGGCCTAGCTGCTCGGGCTCCGTACTACGTAAAGCCTTGGACTCATGAACAGTAATAGGCCGGGATAATATATCCCAACACAAGTCCCCCAGTTTCTTGAGTAGTGAGCTCGCGAATCTGCTCGAGAAAATATACTCTGCCTGCGCTCTTCCTCTGTCTTGCTGGAAACTGTGTCTTCACATAACCATCATATATGAGTGAGTGTCTGCACTCCTGAACGTAATCTACCAGTGAGGCACCCCCCTTCCCGACAGGGTCGGGCGAAGGGTGTTCCTCCACGGGCACACTCCCCCTGAATGCATCAGGCGGGAGTAAAGGACTCTGACTCGAGCTTTCCAATCGGAGAAGCTTAGAGGTCCATCATCTATAACCCGACGTCGCGGTACTATCAAAACATGATGCACGTGTGTATGTATGAATGTATGAGGTATGATGCATGAATGTATGTATGCATGTAATGTGTGTATGTAATGTATGAGAGAGGGAATGCAAGATGTGATAGAAGCAGTAGCTCTCATCGATAACCCGGGCATGTCAGCGCCGAGAAGCAGACGTGCTGCATAAGACGGGTCCCCCATCCGAGATGGCATGGGCGGAGCCGAAGGTGGACTAGACATGATGCCGCCGAGGGGCCAATCATGCTGCATACGACGGGTCCCCCATCCGAGATGGCATGGGCGGAGCCGGAGGTGAACTAGACATGATGCCGCCGAGGGGCCAATCGAGTTGTATAAGAGATGTTCGTCGCCATCCTGGAAGGGATGGGCGAGCCGAACACGAGCCAGACACGATGGCGCTGGGGCGCTGATCGTGCTGCATATGAGACGTTCGTCGCCATCCTGGAGGGGATACGTGATCCGAACGTGAAAGAGACACGATGGCGCTGAGGGACCGATCGTGCTGCATAAGACGGTCGTCGCCATCCTGAAGGGAATGTGCGAGCCGAACCGTGAAGCCAGGTACGATGGCGCTGAGGGGCCGATCGCACTGCATAAGACGTTCGTCGCCATCCTGGAAGAGATGCGCGATCCGAACGTGAAAGAGACACGATGGCGCTGAGAGGCCGATCGTGCTGCATAAGACGGTCGTCGCCATCTTGGAGGGAATGCGCAAGCCGAACCGTGAAGCCAGGTACGATGGCGCTGAGGGGCCGATCGCACTGCATAAGACGTTCGTCGCCATCCTGGAAGAGATGCGCGATCCGAACGTGAAAGAGACACGATGGCGCTGAGAGGCCGATCGTGCTGCATAAGATGGTCGTCGCCATCCTGGAGGGAATGCGCAAGCCGAACCGTGAAGCCAGGTACGATGGCGCTGAGGGGCCGATCGCACTGCATAAGACGTTCGTCGCCATCCTGGAAGAGATGCGCGATCCGAACGTGAAAGAGACACGATGGCGCTGAGGGGGCCGATCGTGGTGCATAAGACGTTCGTCGCCATCCTGGAGGGAATGGACGAGCTGAACGTGAACTGGGTACGATGGCGCTGAGGGGCCGATCGTACTGCATAAGACGGTCGTCGCCATCCTGGAGGGAATGTGCGAGCCGAACCGTGAATCTGGACACGATGGCGCTGAGGGGCCGATCGTGGTGCATAAGACGTTCGTCGCCACCCTGGGGGGATGGACGAGCTGAACGTGAGCTGGGTACGATGGCGCTGAGGGGCCGATCGTACTGCATAAGACGGTCGTCGCCACCCTGGGGGGATGGACGAGCTGAACGTGAGCTGGGTACGATGGCGCTGAGGGGCCGATCGTACTGCATAAGACGGTCGTCGCCATCCTGGAGGGAATGGGCGATCCGAACCGTGAATCAGGACACGATGGCGCTGAGGGGCCGATCGTGATGCACAAGACGTTCGTCGCCACCCTGAAAGGGATTGATGAGCTGAACGCGAGATGGGTATGATGGCGCTGAGGGGCCGATCATACTGCATAAGACGGTCGTCGCCATCCTGGAGGGAATGTGCGCACCGAACCGTGAATCAGGACACGATGGCGCTGAGGGGCCGATCGTGATGCACAAGACGTTCGTCGCCACCCTGGAAGGGATGGACGAGCTGAACGCGAGATGGGTATGATGGCGCTGGGGGGGCCGATCATACTGCATAAGACGGTCGTCGCCATCCTGGAGGGAATGGGCGCACCGAACCGTGAACTGGACACGATGGCGCTGAGGGGCCGATCGTGATGCACAAGACGTTCGTCGCCACCCTGGAAGGGATGGACGAGCTGAACGCGAGATGGGTATGATGGCGCTGGGGGGCCGATCATACTGCATAAGACGGTCGTCGCCATCCTGGAGGGAATGGGCGCACCGAACCGTGAACTGGACACGATGGCGCTGAGGGGCCGATCGTGATGCACAAGACGTTCGTCGCCACCCTGGAAGGGATGGACGAGCTGAACGCGAGATGGGTATGATGGCGCTGGGGGGCCGATCATACTGCATAAGACGGTCGTCGCCATCCTGGAGGGAATGGGCGCACCGAACCGTGAACTGGACACGATGGCGCTGAGGGGCCGATCGTGATGCACAAGACGTTCGTCGCCACCCTGGAAGGGATGGACGAGCTGAACGTGAGCCGGGTACGATGGCGCTGAGAGGCCGTTCGTACTGCATAAGACGGTCGTCGCCATCCTAGAGGGAATGGGCGATCTGAACCGTGAACTGGGTACGATGGCGCTGAGGGGGCCGATCGTACTGCATAAGACGGTCGTCGCCATCCTGGAGGGAATGGGCGATCCGAACCGTGAATCAGGACACGATGGCGCTGAGGGGCCGATCGTGATGCATAAGACGTTCGTCGCCACCCTGGAAGGGATGGACGAGCCGAACGTGAGCTGGGTACGATGGCGCTGAGGGGCCGATCGTACTGCATAAGACGGTCGTCGCCATCCTGGAGGGAATGCGCGATCCGAACGTGAAAGAGACACGATGGCGCTGAGAGGCCGATCGTGCTGCATAAAAATGGTGATGATCATCTCATGGCCCTCGGCCTGTCGGTGAGTGATAATCGTCTCACGGCCCTCGGCCGTGCTGGTGATGTGTCAAGTCTCTCTCCTGATTGGCTGTGAGAAGCCGATCGTCTGCCAGGACTCCATCCGGGAAGGAATGGTGAGCCTGAAATAAATCTGGGTGATGTCCCTCCTATCTGACCTGAGGAGCTAGTCTTCGTTCGTCTACCGTATCCGTGGTCCTATGTACGGACCGCTAAGCAGTGTACACTCGGCACGCACAGACTCCGGTAAAGAGCTGGTCCATCGTGTCTGATCCATGGAGCTGGTCTTCGTTCGTCTACCGTATCTGTGGTCCTATGTACGGACCGCTAAGCAGTGTACACTCGGCACGCACAGACTCCGGTAAAGAACTGGTCCATCGTGTCTGATCCATGAAGCTGGTCTTCGTTCGTCTACCGTATCCGTGGTCCTATGTACGGACCGCTAAGCAGTGTACACTCGGCACGCACAGACTCCGGTAAAGAGCTGGTCCATCGTGTCTGATCCATGGAGCTGGTCTTCGTTCGTCTACCGTATCCGTGGTCCTATGTACGGACCGCTAAGCAGTGTACACTCGGTACGCAACAGACTCCGGTAAAGAACTGGTTCTTCGTTCTTCCCAAGTCTCGTGAGTACTGGTCTCCTGGTTTCGCAGGAGACGTTCGTCATCCCAACTATGAGAAGGAACAGGTTTATCCACGTCGGGATTCCCTATTCTTCGTTCGTCCCTGTCGTGGTCCTACTAATCTTCTTACTTCGAAGAAGACGTTTGGTCATCCAACGATCGCAAGGAGGAACAGGTTTATCCACGTCGGGATTCCCTATTCTTCGTTCGTCCCTGTTGTGGTCCTACTAATCTTCTTACTTCGAAGAAGACGTTCGGTCATCCAACGATCGCAAGGAGGTCACTGGTTTATCCACGTCGGGATTCCCTGCTTCGTCGTCCCATGCTCGTGGCCCTACTAGCCTTCTGCTTTGGCAGAAGGTGTTCATCGACCCACGGGAAATGGGAGGAACTGGTTTATCCTGCCGAGGTTCCCTTTGGTACGTCTAGCCTCCCCCACGATCCTACTAACCTCCGCGTCGGGAGACGTTCGTCATACGCGGCGAAGGAAGATCAGGCATACCTCGTCAAGACTCCCTCTCTCATAGGAGCTTCTCTCTCCCCTTCTCCCCATCTTTTCTCTCTCTCTCTCTCTCTCTCTCTCTCTCTCTCTCTTTTTTTTTTTTTTTTGAGGGAGGAAAATACGTTCGTCGGTTCTAAGAATGACCACAAGTGATGTCACACATAATGGTGGTGGGATATCAAAATGAACAGAATGACGAGGCGATGGAAATGCTGGTCGTCATGCGAAGGCGATGGTCACCCTCCCGAAGGGAGGGGTGAGCCTGATCGCTAACCCAAGAAGGTCGGCGTTGGGAGCCGATAATGATCATCATGTCGCTGAGCAGTCGGTCCTGATAAGGAGATGAAAATAGTGTCCGATCAGGCCGATATATCCAAGCAACGGCTCTCATCCACGCAGCGCGGGGATGAAACCGGTCTTCAAAAGATAAATATGTCGTGCCGAGAGGCCGATCATAACATGATAGTGTCGGCAGTCAGAGGCCGACCTGAAAGAATCAAGCAATGGTCCTCGTCCGCGAGGGGCGGGGACAAGGCCGGTCTTCAAAAGATAAGCACGCCAAGCCGAGGGGCCGGTCGTGGTATAATGGTGTCGGCAATGAGCGGCCGATCTGAAAGAATCAAACAACGGTCCTCGTCCGCGGGGTGGCGGGGACGAGGCCGGTCTTCAAAGATGATAATCACTCCAGGCCGGGGGGCCGAACATGATATGACAGTGTCGGCAATGAGCGGCCGATCTGAGAAAATCAAGCAACGGTCCTCGTCCGCGAGGGCGGGGACGAGGCCGGTCTTCAAAGATGATAATCACGCCAGGCCGGGGGGGCCGAACGTGATATGACAGTGTCGGCAATGAGAGGCCGATCCCACAAATCAAGCAACGGTCCTCGTCCGCGAGGGCGGGGACGAGGCCGGTATTCAAAAGATAGGCACGCCGAGCCGAGAGGCCGGTCGTGGTATAATGATGTCGGCAATGAGAGGCCGATCAAGTGTATCCGTGCAACGGCTCTCATCCGCGCAGCGCGGGGATGATACCGGTCTTCAGGTGATAAATACGCCGTACCGCGAGGTCGGTCGTGATGTAAGGATGGTCCCCCGACCCTCGGCCGTAGTGGTCTCCTCTAGGCCACCGGCTCCTGGTGTGGAGATGCTCGTATCACGGCTCTCAGCCGTGATGGTTTCCTCTTGGCCCTCGGCCTCTGGATGATGGATGATCGTCTCACGATTCTCTGTCATGGCATTCGCCTCTAGATCCTCGGCCTCTAGGTGTTCTTCCTAGGCCATCGGTCTCTGGGGTGGAGATGCTCGTCCCACGGTTCTCAACCGTGGTGGTCTCCTCTAGGCCCTCGGACCCTAGGTGGAGATGCTCGTCTCACGGTCCTCAACCGTCATGCTCTCCTCTTTAGCCGGCCCTGCACGTATTCAAGACTCGGGCCGAGCGTCTTCTAATCATTTCACTCGAGCGCGTCGAGCGGCTTCAGCTGCGCAATAAGCATGGTAACGGGCCGCACGGCCCGACAATATGTATACACACGCAATCATCTGCATGGCTTTCTTTCTAATATCCACGATTACCGGCCTATGGGTTATCGTGACCTTCGGCCCGGCTCATCGTGCGGGGTTAATGGACGTAGCAGCTCGCGGCGGGGCCAATTAGCAGCCCGCCGAACGTCACATAGAGATATTCATCGGTCTGTGAGTTTTCAAACTCAGACCCAAGTTGGTCGCACCGCCCTCGGAAACACGAGGCCGAGCGCTTTGGTGCCCTCGGGGCCCCACAGGCCGCGTCTGGCAATAGTCACTTCGCGCCTAATGGCGTAGATGATACTGGGGTACGATCGTCGATCGGGCACGTAGTGCCGTGCAGACTAACGTGCAACCCTCAAATTAAAATGCGTCGTCGGGGCGTCGCCCTTTTGGAGACGCTCAGACCGCTTAATCAAGCTGATCGAGAGTGGGCCATCAGGCCCACAAGAAATCAAATACTTAATAAAATGTTAGCTGAACTAACCATCACTTGAGCCTCGCTCAGCATTATTTAATTCGGGACATTTTATCCCTAATAAATAATAGTGACATAACCGGCAATAGCAATGATACTTCCCTATCAAAGGCCATTCAAGTATACTCCGTTCGCTAATTAAAGCCGATCAGGAGCGGGCCGACAGCACATACAACCAGTCATTAATTAAAATGATGGTGGAATTAATTATCACTAGAGCATCGCTCGACATTATTTAATTTCGGGAGATTTTATTCCCTAATAAATAATGGTGATAAAGAATAATAGTAGCCATGCTTCTAACATTTTAAACATTTAATAATTAATGTACCAATTTAGAAGTTATAGGTACTTAGCTTCTTGGAGATGGGAGCTTCGGCCATCAGGATTTGTGGAGTCAGCCTTGCCAACTTTTGACTTTGGTCAAAAGTACTCCAGCTTTACTCGTTTGCTACCATTCGTCCTTCGAACGTGGCCTTATGAGAACCAAGGTATTTGACTGGCACGTAGTGCTCCGTATCTTTTGGATAGATTGTTGAAGGATCTGCTTACAAGCTCACCGACCCAGAGCGGTTAGTATGTGCAGCTCAGCGACGGTGGAGATGGCTGCTGCAGCGGAGCAAGGGCGGCCCGAAAAGCTTGTCTCCGGCGGAAAATCAGCTGGACTTCGAGATACACACTATTCTAAGCTCCCAACCGCCATTAATGGCGGAAACACCCCTGGCTCGAGGTTGAGCTGCAACGGAAGCAGAGAAAAGCCATACTAACCGGCGAGGTGGATGAGTCCACTGCTACGACGCTCGCCGGTGCTCTGGCCTGATGAAAGAGCCGCAACTAGGGTGATGAAATTTGAGGCAGGCCGGAGTTCGTACTCCACCTCCGGCTCGGTGCAGCGTCGCCGCCGGGCTGGTTAGGCTCTGGTGGCTTCTTCCGATTCTTTTCAGATCTGGGCGTTTCCAACCTCCTTTCTTTTTCTTCAAATCAGTAGCTTTTTCGTATCAATTTTTTTTTTTGTTGAAAATCAGTTCTCCCGTCTCAGATTTTTCGTAGAAAAATCAAGAACACGCTAAACTTTTCGAACTGTGATGAAAACGGTTAGCAACACAAGAGGGGGGGTGAATTGTGTGTGTGTGGAACCGTGGCAGTTTTTCGCCGAGTTCTAGTGTGGGATAGAGGGAATTGCAAAATAGTAAAGTGCACAAGAATTTAACGAGGAAAAATCCCTTGGCTCAAAGGGATTAAAAAACCTCGACCTCCCTCGGAGGAATTTTAAACAACTTCACTAAACAAGCCTTTGAAAGAGTTACAAGAGTGATTCTCCTAATCTACCCTTGAGCCTCCCCAACTCTATCCTCTCTTAGGAAGAGTTATGCATCTCTACCTTGCGGGTAGAGAGCCTCTCAGCTTTGTCACAAAGCTCTCACACACACTTAACCCGAGGCAGCTACTCTAGCCAATTAAGCCTCACTAGTCTAAGTACAATATGAAAGGGAAAGAAGAAACTCTATCTAGAACTCCGAGCAGGCAGTTTCAGTCGCCAAGGACTTGATCTTTTCTTGAATGATTCTTCTAAGTATTTTTCTCAGTTCAGCTACACCTTCTTGTTTATACTGCTCGAGTATATATAGTTTGGTAGAAGATGTCCGTTGATCTTCTTTTCCTTAGAAGCTTGGTAGACTTGCCTTGATATTTTGAATTACCTTCCTTATGCAATATGTCTCAATGTTCAAGCAAAAGGCATATATCATTTATATTGACATTCCAATAATATACGAGATATGAGGAAGCATAACAAGGCAATAATGCAAGCATCTATTGTATGCAACGGTCAACATACTTTTCAAAATATTTATTAGAAAATATCTTTTTATGGTCAATCAAAGCGTATGCTATCAAAAAGATTCCACTCTAAGGCAACAAAGCTTTTTGCATAAATATATTACAGGCTCGATCAACTAATGCAAAGATGGCAAGTATATCAAAGGAAATTTTCCTTTCTTATCATGCAACGGTCATAACTTATTTATAAGTAAAGATTCCTTCCACACACACAATTCGGATGTAACAGATTCCTTTCCATAAAACGAGACCTTTAATATTAGTAAGAATACTCATGGTAAGAAAAGCTTTCTCAAATATTTGGTATCTTTTAATAAGCTCCGGTCAGCCAAATATGATTAATATTAAAGATATATTCTATAGGATATACAATCACGTATGGGAAAGTATTATGGGCAAGTTTAATATAGCACGGTACTATCGTAAGTACTAGACCAGTTCTTATCCTTTGTTCCTGCATGGTTAGTTAATCAAGTAGCTCAAATATGATTAAAGATCGGGTCTATCCTTAGTTCCTGCATGGTTAGTCATCAACAAAACAACATATTCAACAAATTCCCCCTTTTTGTTGATGACAAACCATAGGTGCCTGCATTGTTAGAAGATGGCAAAACATATTCGTATAGGTACATAAGTTCGTTCGCAGCAACCAAAGGCACCTGGTTGTTTCCCCCTTTTGGCATCAACCAAAAGGAAACAGGAACCAACCAAAACAGCGCCATAAAAGTATGAGTAATGAAGTGGGCAAAGTAGCAAAAATATGTTCAAAATGTGACCCTCCCAACATACATTAAAGAGTTTTAAGACCACTTAATCATCCTCGTCATCAGAGGCAGGAACAATTCTGCGTAGAACAGTATCAGGTTCATCCAGCTTGATGAGAACTTCCTTCTTGAACTCCTGGAACTCGCTGCTAAGGGCATCCAGCTTCCCTACCAGAGATGAGATGGATTCGGAAAACTGCTCCTTAAGAGAGTTGGTAGCAGAATCCAAGAGCTCCTTTATGAGGGGGATAATTTTATCAGAGGAGAGACCAGATGCAGGTGTGGGGCAGGATTTAGGAGGCTTATGATCAGAGGAGGCAGAGAGTTCCTTAGAGGCTATTTTAACGAGTTTGGAATTTTGGATTTCAATGTTCATGTTTTGAAGTCCTTTGAGATCCATGACTTTGTTAAGGCATTTAGGAGTCAGATCTTGTAAAGGGATGTTTCGGGCTTGGAAGAGAAATGTGAGCCAGGGTCCATATGGAATTCCAATCTTTCGAGAATTGGTGCTGATAGTGAACTTGAGATGGGCTAACATCAGGCCAGGTAGATTGACAGGGACTCGGTTTGCTAGAAGATACATGTAGGCTAGCTCAACACGGGAAGGAGAAGAGCGACCTTCAAGTCGAGGGACGAGATTATGATGAACAAAGTAGAACAATAGTTTGTGGATGGGAGAAAGAGAGGCAACGTGTAGGGCTGTGCCAGTCAGAGTAGGGTCAAAATAATGAAGAGCAGTGGAGAGTTCAACCTCGGGTAAAGGCCATTCGGTTTTGGCATAAGGACAGGTTCCAGAACTGGGAACTTTAAGTAGGTTCCCCAAATCCTCAACATCAAGCAGTATTTTAGTGTCTCTAACTCTAGAAGACAGAATATTGTTTTCAATGATCAATTTTGCTAGAAACTCAGCCACACATTCGCTATAGACAGGAGGACACGATTTTGAGTTGAAAAGAACATCCCATTTTTGGAAGGAAATCAGATCAATGAAGTCGGTTGTTAGTATGGAAAGATCCTCAAAGGGTAAGGTGAGTACCTTGCAGTAGTTTCTGGATTGGAAGTCAGTCAGTTGTTTAGTGGCGTCTTCTTCTGCAATTTTCCCCAGCTTCGGATATTTCTTTGCCCTAGTGTCGTCTTGAATCCGTCCCATGGTTATGGCTTTGCTTCTGGGAACTTTCCGCGGGAGCACCTTCCCATCCTTGCTCATTGGTTTCCTCTTGGATTTTGCCAGAGTAGAGGGAGCAGGTGTTGGAGAAGCTTTGGGGCTCGACTCGAGTTCCCCCTGAGATGAGGCAGGAGAGAGAGGAGTCTCTGGCATGTTGACTTCTTGACTCCCAGAGTCCATCGAGGAGGAAGAGGCAAGGTTGATTTGTGAGGGAGTGGAGGAAGATGGTGGTTTCTTTATAGTTTTGATGCGGTTGGATCGGCGAAGTGGAGAAGGTTGAGGGTTCCCCTTGATTTTAACCATGGTGGTGGATTATGGAGAGGAAAGATTTGGTAATTAAGAAAGGAGATAGTGGGGCGGCCGAATTGAGTGTATGGGGAATTGAAATTTTGAAAAGGTAATTTCTTGGAAGGAGATAATCATGATGATTGTGTATTAATTAGATTCCTTTTTTTCTTCCCCTTGTTTGATTATGGTGTCGGCCTTACAAGATTTCAAAATTTAAAAGGGTGATCTTGATAAGTAATATTTCTTTTAGGAAATATGGATAGATATAAGAATAAAAAATTGATCAAGGTTTCGGCCTTAGACAAATAACTTATGACATGCATGAGAAGGAAATAATAAATGAGCCTTAGGAATTAATTAACCCAAGTTCAAGTCTGATGATTTCAAACCTTTCTCTTCCCAAAGGTTTGGTGAAGATATCAGCAATTTGCTTATCAGTGTTGCAGTAGTCCAGTCGAACTAGCCCCTTTTCCACGCAATCCCTTAAAAAGTGGTGTCGGATATGAATATGCTTGGTCCGAGAGTGCATGACTGGATCTTTGGAGATGCTGATGGCACTTGTATTATCACACATAATTGGTGTGCATTTTAATTCCACTCCATAGTCACTTAATTGTTGCATGATCCATAACGATTGGGAGCAGCATGATGCAGCAGCTACGTACTCGGCCTCCGCTGTTGAGAGTGCTATTGAGTTTTGTTTCTTAGAACTCCATGAAACTAGACATGGACCCAGGAAATGAGCAGTTCCAGACGTACTTTTTCTATGTAATAAGTCACCTGCAAAGTCAGAATCTGAATATGCAATTAATTCAAAATTCTCATTACGAGGGTACCATAGGCATAAATCAGCAGTTCCCTTGAGGTATTTGAGGATCCTTTTCACAGCCTTGAGGTGAGATTCTTTGGGATTGGCCTGGAACCGAGCACATAGACCTACGCTGAAAACAATGTCAGGTCTACTGGCAGTGAGGTACAGTAGGGACCCAATCATTCCACGATACATCTTTTGGTCTATGCTCTTTCCTTGTTCATCCGCATCCAGCCTATCATTTGTTCCCATAGGTGTAGTCATAGTTTTGCCTTCACTCATTCCGTACTTCTTTAGGAGCTCCTTGAGGTACTTTTGTTGAGATATTTGAGTTCCTTTGTTAGATTGCTTGATTTGTAGGCCAAGGAAGAAATTGAGTTCCCCCATCATACTCATCTCAAATTCGGAACTCATAAGATTAGAGAATTCATCACAAAGAGAATCATTAGTAGCACCAAAAATAATATCATCTACGTAGACTTGAACAACCAATAGGGCTTGATCTTTTATTTTTAGAAAAAGAGTTTTATCTATTTTTCCTCTTTCAAAATTATTTTCCAAAAGAAATTTAGATAGGCGTTCATACCAAGCACGAGGTGCTTGTTTGAGGCCATAAAGTGCTTTATCTAATTTGAAGACATGATTAGGAAAATCTTGATTTTCAAAGCCCGGTGGTTGTTCTACATATACCTCTTCCTTTAGATATCCATTCAAGAAGGCCGTCTTGACATCCATTTGGTGGAGGGTGAAACCCATATGAGCCGCAAATGCTATGAGCATTCGGATTGCTTCTAGTCTTGCCACCGGTGCAAATGTTTCGTTGAAATCTATTCCTTCTTGTTGGTTATAGCCCTTGACAACAAGTCTTGCCTTGTTCCTTGTGATTTGACCATGTTCGTCAAGTTTGTTCTTAAATACCCATTTGAGACCTATGACGGTTTTGTTCTTGGGCCTCGGTTCTAGATGCCACACCTGGTTTCTTTCAAACTGATTTAGTTCCTCCTGCATAGCTAGAACCCAGTCAGTGTCGGAGAGAGCCACTTCATGGTTCTCCGGTTCTATAAGTGATAAATAAGCAGAGAAAGCACAAAAGTTCTTAAGTTTAGATCTAGTTGTTACTCCCTGATTTAGATCGGTGAGGAGGTTATCCAGCGGATGCGATCTATGAAGCTTCCAACCCCTAGGAGCGTTGGGTTGGTCCACCAAGTTGTAAAGAGTATCTGAAACTGGTTCTATTGGTTCTATAGGTCCAGTGTCAGTGTTCTGTCCAGGTTCTTCTTCAGTTCCAGATTGTTCATTTTCATTTGTTGGAGGTACTTCATTAGTTTGATAGGCAGTTCCTTCATCTCCTTGAGATTGTGACTTCTTGCGAGTAATCCCTAGCTCACCATCATCGACTTGGATTGTATTTGAGACAAGTGCTTCATCAAAGATTACATGAATGCTTTCTTCCACACATTGTGTGCGTTTGTTTAGAACTTTGTAAGCCTTGCTATGAGGAGAATATCCGAGGAAGACTGCCTCGTCACTTCTAGCATCAAATTTGCCGATGTTATCTTTTCCATTGTTGTGGACGAAACATTTGCATCCAAAAGTTCTTAGATGACTAATGTTGGGCTTCCTTCCTTTGAGTAGTTCGTAGGGTGTTTTCCCTAGGAGTGGGCGGATCATGGCTCGATTAATGATGTAACATGCTGTGTTTAGAGCCTCGGCCCAGAAGCTCCTAGCTAGACCGCTGGAAATAAGCATAGTTCTAGTCATGTCCTCCAGAGTTCTATTCTTTCGTTCTACCACTCCGTTCTGTTGTGGAGTTCTAGGTGCGGAGAAGTTGTGGTCTATCCCT